TTACAGAAGCTAATTTCTGGCTAACACTGGTTGACTACGTAACAAACACGATTTTAAGTTCTTTGCACATATTGACTCATTTAATCCTCATAATATCTCCATGAAAAAGGTATGATTATTATCCTTATTCCACACATGGGAAATCAGAGTTAGAGGTAATTTTAAAAAACTTTCCCATGTTTACACAGATTCTAAGTGGTGAAGACAAATCCCAAACCCAGGCATTCTATAGATTCCCAACATTTGCTGTATCAGTTTCCCTTGGCCGCTACAAAAAATTACTATAAGCATGGTGGCTTGAAACAGAAATTTACTCTCTCACAGCTCAGAAGACCAAAGTCTGAAATCAAGGTGTCAGCAGGTCCTCACTACCTCCAAAGTCTCTAGGGGAGGGATCTTCTTTGCCTCTTCCAGCTTCAGGTGGCTCATGGAATAGCTCAGCTCGCAGTAGCATAACTCTAAAGTCCACTTCCATCTTCACATGGCATTCGTCTCTGGGTCTTTATGTCTTCTTTCCTGTCTATTGGAAGGACACTTGTGACTGGTTTTAGGGCCCACTCTAAATCCAGGATGATCTCATTTCAAGATCCTTAATTTTTTATCTTCAAATACCCTGTTTCCAAAAAAGTCACATTCATAGGTACCAGGAGTTAGGATTTGGATTTTTTTTTTTTAAGGTCATGCTGGGGATTGACCCAGGTCCTTATACATGCTAAACACATACTCCACCAATGAGCTATACCTCAAGACCTCAGTTTTTAAGTGACTTTATTGAGCCATAAGTCACATACCATACAGTTTGTCCATTTAAAATGTATAATTTGAAGCCTTCTGGTATAGTCACAGGTATGTGCTACCATCACCACAGTCAATTTCAGAACATTTTCAAGAAGAAACTCTATACCCATTAGCTATCACTCCTCTGTGTCAACCTCCACCTCATCCCCAGCACTAAGCAACAGGGTACTTTCTATCTCTATAGATTTTCTTATTCTAGACTTCTATATGAATGGACTTGTACAGAATCTGGTCCTTGAAACTGGCTTCTTTGATTTAGCCTGTTTTCAGAGTTCTATATTGTAGCAAATATGAGTACTTCATTCCTTTTAATTATTGAATAATATTCCATCATATAGATTTCATCTATTGCTATACATTTGGGTTGCTGCTATCTTTTGGCTGTTATGAATAATGCTGTTATACAGAAGTTTCTGTGTGGATACAAGTTTTCACTTCTCTTGTGCATATACCTATGAGTAGAATTGCTAGATCATATCATAACTCTATACTTAGTTTTCTGAGGAACTCCTACTAAGTAGCTATACCATTTTACATTTTATGAGGGTTCTAATTTCTTCACATCCTCACCAAAACTTGCTGTTCTCTAATGTTTTTATTCTAGCCATCCTAGTATGCATACCTCGTGGTTTTGACTGCACTTCTCTGATGACTAATGATGTTGAGAATCTTTTTGTGTGTTTACTGGCCATTTGTATAACTTCCTTGAAGAAACACTTCTTCAGATCTTTTGCCCATTTAATTACCTGCCTTTTATGTTTGGGTTATAAGACTTCTGTTATGGTTTATCTAAACCATTTGAAGAGTCCCCCAAAAGCTCATGTGTGAAAGACAATGCAAAAATTTTCAGGGGTGAAATGATTGGATTATAAAAGCTTGCTAGCCACGACGGAGAGTGGATTAACTGGGCAGTAACTATAGGTATGTAGGGTGCAGCTAGAGGAAATAGGTTACTGGGGGTGTGCCTTTAGAGTTTATATATTATCCTTGGTAAGCAGAGCTCTCTCTCCTTCCAGGTTGCCATGTCCTGAGCTGCTTTCCTCCATCGTGCCCTTTCACCTTGATGTTCTGCTTCTCCTTGGCTCCAGAGCTATGGATTCAATCAACCATGAACTGAATCTCTAAAACCATAAGCCAAAATAAACTTTTCCTCCTCTAAGTTGTTCTTTTCAGGTCTTTTGTTCATAGCAATGAAAAAGCCATCTAAAACAACTTCTTTATACTTTAAGATATAAGTCCCATATCAGATATAAATATTTATCAGATTCTGTGGATTGCCTTTTCACTTGCTTGATGGTGTTCTTTAAAGCACAAGTTTTTACTCTGATGCAGTCCAATTTATCTGTTTTTAATTTTATTGCTCATATTCTTGCTGTCAGATCTAAAAATTCTTTGCCAAATCCAAGATCATGAATAATAACTCCTGTGTCCTGTATTAAGATATACTTAACCTCTGTATACCCACTAAACAACCCATTGTAATGGATAATTATTAATTAATTCCAACAAACTCCAAGAGTACAGAACCACACATTAAAGAGAGAATGAGACAGGGGATATATGATCAGTGACCTGAGACTACGTATTCAAAAAGCATCTAGGCACTTTATTTTTCAGAAACCTAGTTTATAAATACATAACAAGCTGCTTTATTTCAGAATCAAGGAAGATGCTCCAAAATATCTGATACATTAATTTCACTATTTAGTGACTATGCACCATGTAATTAAGAGCCAAAGCTCTGAAGTCAAAGACAAATCTTTGTTTAGATCCTGGCTCTTGCTATTCACCCACTGTATACCTTGGGATATTATTTAATTTCCCCACAAATGAGTTTCCTGATAATAAAATGATAAAATGAGATAACATAAAATGTTACAAAGATAAAAAATAGAAGGAAAAAGACCTGACACACAAGAGGTGCTCACTAAATATTAGAGTTTTTCCTTTCCCTTTTATACGTAAATATCTCCTGTACTCGCGGATAAGCCTTACTCTTAAAGTAGGCTTGCCTCATACCTACCTAAAATTAACAAAGAACAAGAATTTTGTTGGGAAATGGAGATAAGGGGGTAACTTCGGAATATGAGATAATTCAGGCAGAGCATCAGAAATATCTGGAATCTAGGAAGAAGCAGAAAAGATTCACAAAGTAGTGACAATCATTTTAGTTATTCCACAGGTAAGGTCTAAAGGCTATAGGCATAAAGGGAAAAGTAACAGCAATAATAATAACTTAAAAGGCCATGAGCTTCTGCTTTGCCAGTCCAGGTATCTTTCTCTTTAGTTAAATTCTGAATTCAATTGAAGATATTTCCTCAGTTTAGAGACTGAGTAGCACTGCTACTCTTACAAATATATAAGCCATTATAAAATGACAACACCACAGATGTGTTATTTCTAAAAGCAAAATCTATCTCTTCAAAATAACTGCTAATTGATTCATCTCAGCTTAAAATGCTTACCATATCTGAAGATGGCAAAAGGCCACCTTTCCAGATTTTCTAGCAAAATTATTGATCAAATCTTTCAAATAAGGTTACTAAGTTTCTAAGTTACTTCAGGTCATCTACAAGCCTATTGCACTAGGAGGACAGGGTCGGTTCTCACAGACTACATGGGAGTAAATAAGCTTCAATGTTACTGACAAGTTCCAAGATCACACTGACATTCTCATACCAGATTGCTGCCATTTCCAGACAGCTTACAACCATGGGAGGAAGAATATACAGGATGTCCAGTTATGCAAAGGGATTCTAAGTTACCTAAATCTGTCCTTTATCTGGGCATTGCATTTCACAGTATTTACTTTCAAGTCTATCATCCAGAAGTTGACTGTTAAATTTTGTTTTTATTTATTTATTTTTGGTAATAGGCATTGAACCAGGGACACTTGACCACTGAGCCACATCCCTAGCCCTTTTTTATATTTTATTTAGAGACAGAGTCTCACTAGTTTGATGAAAATGACTTTGAACTCATGATCCTCCTGCCTCAGCCTCCCAAGCCCTTGGGATTACAGGTGTGCACCACTGCACCCAGCTAAATTTTATTTTTCTCTCATCTTTTTCTATAGTTCTCAGGAGGTTTATAGATTTTTCCTAGTTCTGGAATCACATTCTCCTTCCATTCCCACTCTACAACTTGCTCCATATCTAAAAAAAATCAAAACTCTAAATTCAGATACTAACACATGGTCTCTTGTCATCTGAGTTGCTAATAAAGTTCAATAAATCCAAACAATATACAAGACTTAACCAGCAGATGCTATCATTCAACGTGATAAACTCCAATCTCCAAATTCTTGAAACACAAATGGTAGCCTCCTAAAACAACACTCTAGAGATCTTTTATAACTCAACTCTTCACTATAACACACAGTGTTTTTAAGTCATCTCCAGGTTTACAGCCAATAGCTAAAAGGTATTCACAAAGTGCTATCATAAAGTATTTACAAAATATATTCACATATATTCTCTCATTGGAGTTTCACAGTCTAATGACATAGATTTTCATCATGCACATTTTACAAATGAGGAAACCATCAGATGTAAGTAACTTGTCACCATTAAGACAGCATGTAACTATCTGATCCAGGACTTGAGATAAGTTTTGTATCTCTAAGACCATTCTAAGACAATCTTGCCTGTCTTTCACTAACTTGGAAGGCTATTTCCACTAAATGAATTGCTTTAACAGCATAATCAATAAAGTTACTACTTCGGGAAACTAGTAGAGCAAAACAAGACCCTCTGACCAAATTTGGGAAATGTTCCAGGTCACCTGTTAAAGGTCAGATAGACCCTCTTCCCCCAAGTAGCTAATGGAAGTGCTCCTTTCTTGTATATCTGGATCCTGAAAAAAATGTTAAATAGCTAATGAAATAAAGTTAACAATTAATTAGGTTTACAACTTCATTGAGTATACTTCAAAGAAGATGTCACTTATTTGAATGTACATTCTGGTTTTCGGTTTTTGGTTTTATTTTAATACTGAGGATTAAACCCAGGGGTGCTTTACCACTGAGCTACATCCCCAGTTCTTTTTTTACTTTTTGAGACAGTTACTGAGGCTGGTCTTGAACATGCAATACTCCTGCCTCCACTTTGCAAGTTGCTGGATTACAAGTGTGAGCCACTGTACCTGGCATACATTCATTTTTAATTATCAAAATCTAAAACAATATGCAAAAAAGACCTTACCTGTTCACCTGCCTCTTGAAACTCTTTGCATGCATCAGGGAATACATCATAAATAATGAGCGGATAACCATGTTTCATGAGGTTTTTTGCCATTGGATTCCCCATGTTGCCCAGTCCAATGAATCCAACTGGAGTCTTAGAAGCCATTGACCTAGAACACACTGATTTCAATATATTACTTTCAATAGGGGCAGATAACATTTTTCATTGTAAACATTCTTTCAGTATTTATAAGTCAGTTGTCATTTATGTTTACTATAAAAGAGACTTCTAAAAGAGTAGTTTAAAAATAATAACCTAACTCCATTTAAAGGTATCAACAATGTGCAAGCAAATTTTACTTCTAATTATTTAGTTCTCCATGAAACATTCATAAAGTTTAAGCAATCTTTTCTATTTTCTACCTCTATAACATCTTTTTGCCATTTTGAACAATAAATTTTAAAATGTTACCATTTGTAAATCTTCTCTTGTCAGTTACCCACAATGTAAAGCATTTTAGTTCCTTATATCTATATTATCTCCCATAATGATATGGGTAAGGCCTACACCTAGGACAGATCTTAGGTTGGAGGTGTAGCTTAATGTAAAACATATGCTTAACAAGCCAAGACCGTATGTTCAATAACCAAAACTTAAAAAGAAAAAAATCTTAATATAATGTTAAATCTAGGAAGAATATATTTCAACCAAAGTTACTACTTTACAAAAGTGGTCCTAGGGGAGGGGAGGAGAAAGGAGGCGAGGTAAATGCTTCCATGGGCTTTAAATAGCAAAGGTAACAATATCAGGACCTGGGCTCAACAACTTTGCACCTTCGGAAAGAGGGATTTCCAGAGGTGGCAAGAAAATGAAGTGAGGGAAGGAGGGTGGCAAGGGAAGGAGGAGGGAGGGAAGGGGGGCTCTTTAACTACATACAAGACTGATTTTTGTTTCTCATAAAATTACACCTGGGGCTCATTATTCAAAGTAAAGTTTTAGAGTAAAAAAAAGTTTTATCCTACCACAAAAATAACATTAGATACAATGTCTCAGTTTTTAGAACTCCACTCAACCAACACCACTCAACAAATATTCATTGCATATGAAGTACTGAGGAGCTCCAGAGCAGACAAAGCGGGGTCCTTGCCCTGGAAAAGCTCCATCAAAGGAAGGAAGAAAGAGAAATAACTCCACTTGCCCTTTCATTTGCCAGTTTTCTTATCATTTTTTGTTTGAAAGACTCCAGTTTCAAAATTGTTTAGTACAACAACTAATCAGTCACCCTCTCATGTTACAGATCCTCTCAAATTATTGATTCCTGCTCTTCCCTGAACTTAATCTGAATATGACATTTTTCTAAAAGTAAATTATTTGAAGCTCTAATGATTAAGAAATAGGGGCCTTATTGGGTTAGAAGCATATTTAAATCATTTTAATTTCATTATTGTCTCTACCACTTTTATTAAATGTGAGTGTCAAGTAAGATCAAGCAAGATCACCATTACTAGTGCTAAGTTTACATGCTGAGTAAAAACAGGATCCTTCTGCCTGATTTTCTGGCCACAGGGGTTCAATGACAAAGAAATGACACTTATCTAACAATAAATTTTATTTTGAAATTAAACAGAATGAGAGGTATACATTATAAGAGGATTATTTTTATTCTTTTGTACCAGGGAATGAACCCAGAGGTGCTTAACCAATGAGCCATCCTAAGCCCTTTTTTATATTTTTATTTAGAGACAGGGTCTCAGTAGGTTGCTCAGTGCCTCACTAAATTGCTGAGGCTGGCTTTGAACTCATGATCCTCCTACCTAAGCCTCCAGAATCGCTGGGATTACAGGTGTAGATCACTGCACTTGGCTTGTAAAAGGATTCTGATGCTCATAAGCACACTGACAAAAATGGCCTGAGAGAAAACTTAGTCCTATTGTTCCAGACTATCGTGTTAAGGTTGGAAAGGTATAATTTTAAAAAAAAATTCTATTCTATTTGATAATTTTTACATTTTTTAATTTTAGGTGGACACAATATTTTCATTTTATATTTTATGTGGTGTTGAGGATAAAACCAGTGCCTCATGCATGCTAGATGAGCACAGTACCAATGAGCCACAACCCCAGCCCCTGGAAAGGTATAATTTAAAAATCTAGGGCTGGGGATGTGGCTCAGTGGTACAGCGCTTGCCTTAGCAAGTGTGAGGCACTGGGTTCAATTCTCTGCATCACATATAAATAAAGTCCATTGACAACTAAAAAAAAAAAAAATCTAAAAACATTAGAAACTAAGAAGACTATATTTTAAAGGCCATTAATTTAGCAGGCAACTGTTTTAGGTCAAACATGTCAGTATGACAAGGACAAATCGTAAATCCTTCCCATACTCAACAAATATTAAGCAACTATGCACATGTTCCACACCAGATGACATGGAAGACACTAATGAAACACAGTTCTTGCCTTCAACAGCCTTAAAATCCAAGATGTTGTACACTATGCAATCTAATACTAATATAAGACAGTCGGGATAAAATATTGTTTAAAAATACTACTAAAAGAGAAGGAAAATTCATGATCTGGGAAACTTGAAGAAGGAAGCATTTGACCTGGGTATTTTAGAATAGGTAATATTTCAAATAGGGAGAACAGAAAGGAAGTAAATGTCAGAGAAAAAGAACATGAGCATATGCAAGGAACTAGGAAAGCCAGAAGTGAATGATAACAGTAATCATTAATGTTTATTGCAAATTTACTACATGCCAGACACTGAAAACTTTATAGATAACATTGTCATTATACACTATCATCTTTCAGTAAATACCTAAGAATTTATTAAATTGTAACATCAATATTCAAATGAGGTCAGTATGACTAGATTCTTCAATTGTATGACACTGTCCTCCATTCTTCCTATGGCATTCCCAAAGAAATGAAACAGCAGATTTAAATTAGAAGAAATAATGTGACCATAATATGGAAGACTAAAGCATGCTAAACAATGTGACTGCATTTTGGAGGCAAGAGATAGTTATTGAAGGGAGGGATAAAGAAATGATATGATCACACTTATGCTTTAGAAAGAGAAATGAGGCAGCATTATACAATAGATGAACTGGAGGAAAGAGTCTGAATTCAAGAAGACCAATATAAAAGTAATAGAAATCCTCTAGATCTTAGTTCAGGCTGCTACAACAAATATTCAGGCTGTTGTGGCTTAAACAATAGTTCTGAAGGAAAGTCCAAAATGAAGGTAAGAAAGATGCCAGAGGGCTAGGGATGTGGCTCAAGCAGTAGCGCGCTCGCCTGGCATGCGTGTTGCCCAGGTTCGATCCTTAGCACCACACACAAAGATGTTGTGTCTGCCGAAAACTAAAAATAAATATTAAAAATTCTCTCTCTCTCTCTTTCTTTAAAAAAAGAAAGAAAGAAAGATGCCAGAACAAGTGTCTTGGTTTGCAAATGGCCATTGTCTCTTTGTATTCTCACAAGGCAGAAAAAGAAAGGACACGAGCTCATGTCTCTGATTATATAAGCTCTAATTTTATGACCTAATTCCCTCCCAAAGGTCCCACCCTTCAAATCCATCACCTTAAAGGTATGAAATCCAATCTATGAATCTTGAAGATATACAAACATTCTGTCCATAAAAGACAGTTAACAGGTAGTAAATATGGGGAAAGACAAATAGGAAAAATTATTCAAAGATAGACCTAAAAAAAAGTAACAAATTGGATTATGGGATGAAACAAGGCAAAGGCAAAAAATGACACTAAAAGAATAGTAGTATCAATACCCTAGGTAGAGAAATAAAAAAGGAGAGTTGGCTTAGTTTTAAATAGGGTAACTATGAGCTATCCGTGAGGTCAAAGATGTCCAGCAAACTTAGAAACATTATAACCAAGGCTGTAGGGACAGGACAAGAAAAGTTCCCATAGTAAGGATGAGAAAAGAGAGAGACAGAGAGAAAGTGAGGGGAAGATCTGTTGATGATCTATTTCAAAATTAGAATTGAAATTGTGAGAGTCAGCAAACTAAACAAGAACAAAGAGGCTGAAGCCCAAAGGTTGAAGTTCTTTGAATTTCAGGGAATAAGTACACTTAGAAGTCAAAAAGATAAAACCAACCCTGAAAATGACACAGATGTTAGAATTAAAAATTATTGTAACTGCAGCCCAAACATTTCAAAAGTAGAGATATGGAAGATAGTTTTAAAAATCCAAATGTAAATTAATTGAGATGAAATCTTCAATGTGTAAGATGAAAATTACACTGGAAGATTAGCAGCAGAATAGATACTGTGGAAGAAAAGATCAATAACTTCACTGGCATAGCAAAAGAAACTACCCAAAGCAAAACAGAGAAAAAATAATTCTAAAAATGAGAAGAGCATTAATCAGCTGAGACAGTTTAACCAGCCAAATGCATATGCAATGGGAGTCCTCAAAATAGAAAAGTGAAGAAAGAAAACTATGGGAAGAACTAATGGCATTATGGGAAGACCTACTGGCCAAAACTCTTCCAAATTTGTTAAAAACTATAAACTCCATGCCTCCAAGAAGCTTAATGAATCCCAATACAACAAATAAGAAAACTATGCCAAGACACATCAGAATCAAAATGCTAAAAGAAGCCAGAGGGAAAGCATGGAAGCAGATTTCTTATCAGAAATATACAACTGGAGCAACATCTTTAAAATATTGAGGGGGGAAAAAACTGTCAAGCTAGAAATCTGAAACCAGTAAAAATATACAAATATTCTTATTTATATATACAAAGATGCACAAGGAAATTTAAGGCAGTGGTACCAGATACATTGACTGTGATGATGGTTTCTCAGGTACCTAGACATCAAACTTACCAAATTGTAGAGTTTAAATAGATGTGGTTTATTGTACGTCAACTACATTGCAAATAGCTGTTTTTAAAACATCAACATCATACACTTAGAACATTATAAAAACAAACATTAGAGTTCTCAATTTTAAATAATATAAAGAAAGTAATATATCAATCAAATGTGATGTATGAAACCTGAATAAATCCTGATGACATTGATAAGAAGGAGAGAGTCAAATAGTCAATTATTTTTAGCTTTGCAAGCCATAAGGCTTGTGTCACAACTGTACCACTCATCCATTCTAGTTTGAAAGCAGCTATAGGCAATACAAATATAACCAGGTGTGCCTGTGTTCTGATACAACTTTATTTATAAAACTTTATTTAAAAGTTTTATAA